AGAAGGGCGGGTAATCAAGGAAAGGGCACGTGATCCGGTTAAGAATATCCCAGAAATGAAAAAGATCGATAAGAAAGGCCGGCTCTACAGTCAATCTCAATCCGCTGTTGCCAGCCGGAGGAAGAGAATGGTCAAAAAAATGAGACTTGCAAGTCAAACAATGGGAGCACATGATGATATGATCAAGGAAATTTTTTCATTAAGAGATCAACCAGTGCCGTCAACTAGCACGACCGCCGTCACAAGACCAAGCCAAGACCTGCAAGGAGAGGAGATTAATGAAGGAGACCTTAGGCAAAAACGCCCCGTGCAGAACCCTGAGAACGCTAAGTTTCTCGTGACAGTTTGTCCTAAGTGTTTCAAAGGATTTCACCCCCGAAAGCTGCAGCAACACATTATAAGGGCGCACCATATATCAAAGTCCGAAGCCTTAGCCATGAAAAACACCGCCAAGCCTTATGCGAGACTTGTTTCAGTCCCGACAGCTCCAGGAAGAGGTCAATCCCTCAACAGCAAAGTTCCACAAGATATTGTAAACGAAATCAAGGCTGCATTCCTTGCTGGAACAACGAGAGCGGGTCGAGTCATGTCGAGTCATGCCACTGCTGAAATTAGCATCGGAACAGCAGTGGCTTCGGAAAACAGTGGGCAGAGTTCTTCAACGATGCCAGAAATTACTTCCGCGGTCCGCGACGCGTCAAGTGGTGAAATAAGCATCGGAACAGCATTGGCTACGGAAAACAGTGGGCAGAGTTCTTCAACGATGCAAGAAGCTTCTTCCGCCGTCCGCGACACGTCGAGTACAGATCTGAGCAACAGCGCTGTTGATGCCTCCGGCGATGAGGATCAGGAAGCCCCTTATTTACCTCGTACCCAATCGTTTCACCCTTCATATGTCACCGACTGAATGAATCCTGCTCCGCCGTGTTCTCTAGAAGACTTAGAAAAGGCAAAAGATATTACGAAAAATGACGATCATGTTATTAAAGAGGCGCTACATAAACATAAATTACATTTAGAAGAAGGGGATAATCCATTTACCCGTAAAAACATCAGTCTTTTTTGCCGTGTTCTTGTACAGCACTTTGGGAGTAAGCAAAAAGCCGCTGATATTATGAATTTTTTTGTACGTGAAAAACATTTTACTTACGATGATATCACCGAAGTATGACAGTACCAAAACCCAAAACCCTTTACAGTAGATTTGCGGACAGTAGATTTGCGACACTATTTAAATACTGGCTTGAAAGTGGTAGTCGAGCCAGCTTATGTTCTTCTTATGTTCATTGTTCAGTGGAAATTATTTTAAATAAAAACACGCTCGATGCTTTTCTTTCATTTTCAAATGTCTGACATCAAATATAGAAACAAAAAAGATATATCAACATTTGGTCAAAAATCACGTAATTTCAAGACCCGATGCCTTAGCCCTGAGAAAAATCACCCTTCCTCGTTCTAGACTTGTATCATTAGAGACAGTTCAAGATGTAGGGCAAGCCCTCTTTACCAAAGTTCCAAGAGCTATACTACAGGAAATGAAGGATGAATTTTTTGAAACTTGGCCTCGAGGCATGGACCACAATTTTTTATATTTAAGAAAGTACCACCGAAAGCTATCATTGTTTCCGGGCTGTCTTTTGATAGCATTTAAGAATAATGTATGAGCATTATAAATGTTTTAATGGATCAGTTCGAGAAATATTATCTTATTGTTCAGTGGAATTTCTTTTTCTTATTTCATGTTCTCACCAATCTTTTGGATGGCACTATTTTAAATACTGGCTTGAAAGTGGTAGTCGAGCGAGCTTATGTTCTTCTTATGGTCATTGTTCAGTGGAAATTATTTTAAATAAAAACACGCTCGACGCTTTTCTTTCATTTTCAAATGTCTGAAATCGAAGAAATATTGACCTTGGAATCGCTAAGTGGTTGGGTAGGATCCAGGTGTTGAAATGGACTATTATTATTGTCAGGACCTAGCGTTCCCGGTTCGTCGCGAACTCGAACAATGTAGGCACTAAGTTCGTCCCACTCTTGGACCGGTTCGATTCCATGGGGATAAAAACGACTGCATGGTGCGTTGATTAATAGCTTACTTGGTCCCGGTTCAGTAGAACTGGTAAATTTGTAACTATATCAGAGGTCCCGGTTTACCGGGACATGTCCTGTCCCGGTTCATCCACTCAGACGACCTTAATGACCCTTCTGGACTAGGATACTACGTCCCACTGGTCCCACTTGTTGATAAGCTCCGCTTCTGTCGGTTCGGTGTGACCTTATGGTCCAAATTTCCATAACTTATATAACTTTAAAGATTCCTTGTTTCCTATCTTTTATATGTCAATTTTAAAATTTCAAAATGTATTTTACGTGTGAAAATTTTAAATTAAGGCATTTCTTAACCGTTTTTCGCAATTTTTTCCCTATTATATCCCTCCCCTCGCGGACAAAATCATGAGAAATTAATTTTCCTTTAACTTCATCTCGAAGATCATTATTTTGCGATCATTTAGATATATAACATGACATGGATACGTTGATTATTGATACTTTAATCGGCGTTCGAAATTGAATAAATCAACATGTGGTGGTATCTGACATCCCAGGCACCATATATAAGCTGGAACGTCCCGCTCTGGTGTGGGAGTCTACTTTTTAATTGTTGGGTGTATGGTGCTGTTTGTCTCGGTCCGATTTTGTGGCCCGGTTTGGCTTCAGATGTTAAACTTTTAGTGAATAATTAGATTTGTGGCTGTATAGCAACGGATTTAGTGGAGTGACTTCAACAGGCAGTTGCATTGCCAGAACTTCATTATGGAATTGCTAGTTGGTTAGGTTTCACTTGTTATGAAACGATCGTGAGCGTTGGGCATGCATCATTTTCGTCACGCCTTTCGTTGAAAGCGTAACACTTGCTTCCTTGGTCTCTATACAGAAAAATAAGTAAGTGAGATATAGCAATGCTATCAAACTATCTATTAAATTAAACAAACTATTATAAATTAGTGTAATTTCTTTTTTGGGTGCATTCGAATCATTGGATTTTATTGAAGTTTGTTTGTTAAAACTTTGTAGAATTATATGCTATGTAGGTATGGTGAATATCGTTGGTGAGCTTTATTTAGTCTGTTCTTTCTTGAACGCGCTCAGTTCATACTTGGAGCGCCAACGATGTCATCGGGGAGGCTGTTCCACATGTCGGTGATTCGAAGGGAGAAGAAATTTTGTCGCGTGGAGAATTTGCAGGGCAGTTTTATTACTTTATAGCCGTGGCCCCCTGGTGTTGGTTCTTGTGGAATAGCCTCCCTTACTTGTATTGAATGTGCTGGACGCCTAAACTATTAATTCCATGGGTCCTTTTTCGTTATATGCCGTTCTTTTCTCACAACAGTGCCGCATCCTAATCGTACAGTCGTGAACTTGATGAGCGAACACTAAGAGCAGATGAAGGATGCTGCTCAAGAAGAGGACTCTGGCCGACCTCGGCGGGACAACCGCGAACGACTTGAGCATGAGCAGCACGCTGACGTTGGCGAGGGTAGCCAACAAGATAGGCCACGTCGAACATCAGGTGTGTGAATGCTGAAAATAATATTTATTCTTTGATTCTTTTAACTCGTTTCTTGTCCGAGACACATGGGGGATGTCCCGGTTCACAGCGAGACAACCGGGACGTCAGCTATAGTTGAAAACTTACCAGTTCTACCGAGCCGACCTCGGCGGGACAACCGCGAACGACTTGAGCATGAGCAGCACGGTGACGTTGGCGAGGGTAGCCAACAAGATAGGCCACGTCGAACATCAAGTTTGTGAATGCTGAAAATAATATTTATTCTTTAATTAATTCATTTAACTCGTTTCTTGTGCCATAAATTTTTGTTTTTAAATACGTAGGTAACCTTTGTCAATGAATAAATTTTACTTGAAGCGCTTTCATCATCTTTCACTTCAGCTCCCGCCATGACCGCAGAGGCGAGTGGCAAGCCAAGTGACCATTCGTCAGAAGATGACCACTCCCTCACGACCACCGATGCTTTCCCTTTCGCACAGATTGAAAATATTAGGATGGGATACTTCCGAGACCAAACGGTTTGCGTCGTGGTGGACACCACTTCTCAAGTCCTCTCTATGACTCAAGCCTCTGAGGCCAACGAGGAAGATGAGGAAGAAGAGGGTGAGGAGGTGGTGATGGAATCGTCAGACCCTATATATGGACCAGAGAACGACAATGCCGTTGATGAAGCCTGCATCTTCGTGGGAGAATATGATACAGAGTTTGAGCTGGTGGAGGAGGGTGATAAGGATAAATCTGAGGGCGCCGTTGACGTTCAGGAGGCCCCTCTCCTGAACGCCTCCCACGTTCAGGAGGCCCCCCTCGAAGTCTTGCTACCTTCAAAATGCTTCATCGCAGCGTCGGAGTCTGATGAGGTTTGCCTGTCGGAGTCACAAGTCACAAGAGATTTGCCTGTAAAAGAGACGCGAAAATGCAAGAAAAGACTTGCAGACGGTCAGTCCCATGATAATCAAGTAACAAGTAATCAAATCATTTTAGATGGTGTAAATATTTTCAAGAATGTGTCAGCGCGGGATCAAAAATCCGGAAAATCGGATCCTCCCCCGTGCCGCCAGGATCCATTTCTCTTGGAAACCGTCAAAGACGACCTGGCAGAACTTCTACCAGACCCAACATCGTTGTTGTACGCAATGGAAGGTTACATCCTAAAGAGGCATATTCGCGCGACCATCACTGCAGCTATGAGGGAAAGTGTGAAGAAAAGACTTGCAGACGGTCAGTCCCATGATAATCAAGTAACAAGTAATCTAATCATTTTAGATGGTGTCAATATTTTCAAGAATGTGTCTGCGTGGGATCAAAAATCCGGAAAATCGGATCCTCCCCCGTGCCGCCAGGATCCATTTCTCTTGGAAACCGACGAAGACGACCTGGCAGAACTTCTACCAGACCCAACATCGTTGTTGTACGCAATAGAGCGTTTCATCCTAAAGATCCATGTTCGCGCGACCATCACTGCAGCTGTGAAGGAAAGTTTGAAGTGAGTATTTCAAATTTTTGCGCATGAAATAAAAATACTTGACTGTGTGCTTGCAAAGTCCGTACACTTTTCCTGGGTTCCCAGAGAGGCACGGGATTTGTACTCGTTCTTTGAATTTTTTGTAAATTTCTCTCATCGAAGTTTATGACACGTCCTCTTTTACTTCCTTGCAGCAACAAGGAAAAGAAGACATCCAGTCATCCTTCCCACGAAGACGACGACAGCACTGAAGATGAGGGTGAAGAAGGCAGTGGTGACAACAATGAAAGCAGCACAACGTACGTGTTTTCTCTTTATTGAATTATAATAATGCTAAATCTTGCTCATTTTCTCCCTACAACAGTTACGAGCTAAAAGCCTGCAACAGATAGGTAAATAGAGTTAAGCGAGACAACCGGGACGATATAGGTAAAAAGTTACTACTTCGACTGAACCGGGACAAAGTCCGCATCATACGGTCATTTCTATCCCCCTGGTTGTCTCGCTCTGAACCGGGACTTGCCCAGTTTGTATTAAATTATTGCAAAGTACTGAGAGAGACCTCGTCTAATCGCTTTTTTTTCACTTACACAGGCGAGGCCCAAAGGCATACTCGCGCACTCGTGGAAGAAAGCTGCATGGATCTCAGTGACCTTGTTTTGTCCCAGCCTGCGAGGGCCGGTTACGCCCAGACCATATGCGCCGGCACTATCAAGATACCCATGGATTCGGGGAAGAAGCATCGAAAAAAATGACTGGATTTCATCGAACACTAGAAAACATAAAGAAACGTCAGGATGATCAACCCGTCTTGAGCCCCAGCGAGCTTCGGCTATATTGTGAAAATATGGTGAAAAACAACATTGGAAGCCTACCCAAGATATGGCCTGCATTCATGTCAAGTGAACTGAGAGATCTTGTTTCGCCACTCCCCTTACTACTTTATCTGATAGATGGAATGGGAGCATATGATGATATGGCCAAGCTAATTTTTTCATTAGGAGATCAAGCAGTGCCGTCAACTAGCACGACCGCCGTCACAAGACCAAGCCAAGACCTGCAAGGAGAGGAGATTAATGAAGGAGATCTTAGGCAAGAACGCCCCGTGCAGAACCCTGGAGGTCTCAACGTGAAGTACTTGGCAAAGGGAGAATATGATTATAAGCGGCTCGTGACAGTTTGTCCTCTATGTCTCCTCGGATATAACCCCCGAAAGCTGCTGTAACACATTATAAGGAGGCACGAAAAATAAACAACCGTTGCCTTAGCCATGAAAAACACCGCCCTTCCTTATGCGAGACTTGTTTGACTCCAGACAGTTCATCATTAATATTGTTTGCTTGGATTGTTCTTATTGCCATCCAAAGTAAATTGTTCTTATTTCATGTTCTCGCCAATATTTTGGATGGCACTATTTCAATACTGGCTTGAAAGTGGCAATCGAGCGAGCTATGTTCTTCTTATGTTCATTGTTCAGTGGAATTTCTTATTGTTTGCTTGGATCACGTTCCCGGTTCGTCGCGAACTCGAACAAAGTAGGCACTAAGTTCGTCCCACTCTTGGACCGGTTCGATTCCATGGGGATAAAAACGACTACATGGTGCGTTGAATTAATAGCTTACTGGGTCCCGGTTTAGTAGAACTGGTATTTTTGTAACAATATCAGAGGTCCCGGTCGTCTCGCTTTAAACCGGGACGTGTCCTGCTTATCTGAAAGTACTGCAAACCACCGGGACACATGGGGGATGTCCCGGTTCACAGCGAGACAACCGGGACGTTGAAAACTTACCGAGACAACCGCTATAGTTGAAAACTTATCAGTTCTACCGAACCGCGATCAAGCCAGCTATAAATTTAACGCACCATGCCGTCATTTTTCTCCCCATGGAATTGAACCTGTTCAAGACTGGGATGAGCTTAGTGCCTCATTTGTAAGAGTTCGCGACGAACAGGGAACGCTAGGTCGTGAATGTGGGAAAGCAATGCATTAGTTTATTTTCAAACGTAATATGTTGTGGTCGTGATGAGCGCGGTCATTCTGATAACAAAACCAGCAAGCTACGACAATTTTTCGCATCCAGAAATTTTATTTAGAATTGGAACAGATTCGAATGAAATTTTAAATATGAATTTGAAAATACCCAACGGTGATGTTTAGCTCGTGTAAAAATTTTCGATTTTGCCTTCCTTCAAGAGTTATATGGCTATACAGAGAAGCTATTGAAATTTCTGAGGCTGACCCAGTGTTCACGATATATCTCCCAAATTTATGAACGGAACTCATTGGAAATTTACAAACGTATTCATTAGGACTTAACGGAGATGTTTAGCTCTTTACATTGTTATATGGTTTTTATGCATTTAATACTTATTTCTTCCTTTTCTTATGTAACACCGCAACGGCACATTGAACTTTGTCTCATATCTGTACCTGTTATCGTTCTGTTACCTCGGCCCTCGCCCTGCTGGCATTCGTTTAACCGCGCTTCATTTGAAACTCTTTATACTAGTACGATGGCCGTTGCAAGGGCCTGACTCTGAAATATCTTTTTTCTCCGCGTCATCAGGCCCCAAATCCAAACATAATGGAAGATTGAAACTCTAGTAAGTTGTAACTACATTGTTATAATTTGATCAGCGTGTTGGCTAATACTATTTGGAATTACCTCATTTTTTCTGTGAGGTCATCACAAGTTCACAGCCCAGGATTAAAATTTAAATTGAGGAACGCTTGGGAGGTTACATTTCATATACCTAGGCACAACTGACAAGAAAGCATATTGGTAAACAAGTTATTTTCTGTTGCAAGTCTACTTTAAATTTCCTGATATATTTTTCAGATATTGAGTAAAATTCATATTTCTGTGCTAATGATGAAACTCAAAGTATCAAAGGCTCTATAAACATACAAAAAAGGCATGATTGGGCAGCGTGTTTCCAAATGTATTAAAATTTTGTCACACCGGAGCCATGAGATTTCAGAAACATGTAGGAAAATTCTAATCTTGTTTTTATTGGAATGCGCGGCAGTCCCGCTACCATTGCAGCAAGCGCACTCCTATGTTTGGCCACTGTGCTCCTCAATTACATATGGATGGTACATGGTCATTTAGAATAGAAGGCACTTAGAATGCCTCCATCTAATACCTGCAATTTTAGTAAATTTTGCCAAATATTTCAAAATGGCATTGGAGTACAGATTACAGGTCCAAAGTTTGAAATTGGGTAGAAGCCACCAGTAAATTGGCTAAATCAACTGTAAATATGTCCTAAGGTGCACTGTTTGGTGAATGCATTGCCAATATTTGCATTTGCGGACCAAAAATTTTACCGAGTGACCAGGGTGGAATTTGAAAGGGTTAATATATGGAAATTTGTGCATACCATATTGGATCTAAAAATGTGGAATTAAATTGTACTCTATAATTACCTAATATTTTGAAACTGATCATGCTCATAGGCTGGATTGATTTTGAATATATGAGCCCACATTCCTAAAATTCCACCCTGTCAGATGTCAACAGCACCCAAGATCCAGTGCTGGCAGTCTTCAAGATGCAGTGCTAACATGATTTTCTTCCAAATTCTTACATAACCATCTCTGTTGAGTGCATCTTTAACACCCCAGGTATTGCAGTAAACACTTGCATTGCATCTTAAATTACCTAATTATGGATTGTTCTTTGCAGCCTCATCCGACCAACTGGAAACTGGAAATTTTAAAAACAATGCAGCAACTGGTGTACCTCCTGTTTTGCAGTTAGCATTGCTGAAGATTTGAGAATAGCTAAAATGCAAGAATTTTAATCTAAATGTGTAGGCAAGATCTTTTGAATGCCTAAATTTTGCCGCTGATCATCAGATATTCATGGAATTTCGGCTCCAGGCATCTATGTCCAATTTCAGCTGTTACTATGGCCTTTTTTCAATTCCTGCACCCTAGAATATGGCCAGTTTAAGCTTTTACTACAGCCTTTTCTGTATTTCTGTAGTGAAAAAAGGAGATTTACACTGCAATTTGTAGAAAATGAGTGTAAAGCAATCATTTTTGCCTACAATTTTTGGAAACTTCTGCCCAATATTACAAAATGGCTTTAGGTCTTTATAGTAATAATTGTAATACTAGGGCTCAATAGTCAATTTGAAAATGACAATTACAAATATTGAAATCAACTGTTAAGGACAGGTGTTCTGGGTAGTAAGCTGGATTTTGATTTGAGGCATGGTTACACTAAAAAGATCTTCCGACCTCAGGCCTGTGTATTGGCTAGCTGCCACGCACCACACATTCAAATTAAAATCAATTTTTGGCATATGACAGTGGGGAAAAGGAGAGCCAGGTACAGGATTCAAGAAATTGGGACAAGATTTATAGTGTAGAGATTTGTAAAGTATACAGTGTGTAAAGTAGGAGATGGAATAAAAGAAATGGGGTATGATAGAGGAGGGAGAGGGAGAATATTTCAATATAAAGAGGTTCTTTTGTTGGTTATTTTTAGGTCTCACTTATTGCATGTCAGTTTTAGACATTTGTCACACAAATATGAAATAGTGTTAGCTCTCAAAACACTAGATAATACTTTGTTCTTATTTATATTTTATGTTTATTAATACCATTATTTTGCTTTTTATTGCTTGTTTCTTTACACCCTACCAGCCTCCACTCTCCAGCTTCTGCCTGTCCCTCATTCTCCATGCAACTACAAAAAACGCTTATCACTATACCTCATGGGTAATGGCAGTGGTTACCCCTGGTGACAGGCTCACTATCATTTGCTATCAATTCATCTCTCATTCTCTCATACTTCACGCCATCGCCCTAGCACCTCTCATCCAGCATCACTCCAATCATTTCCAGTCTTTCACTCGAATACGCTTCACACTCCATCATCAGGTGTTCCACCATTTCTCTCTCACCTCTGTTGCACATTTGAACGATATCTTCTCTACTTTCATTCCACCTGTGTGTTTGTGCATTCACACTTAAGGCATTTGCTCTCTCGCAGAATATTAGCTCCCCAACTTTGCTACCATCATAAATGCATTCATACTACCGTATGCCATTTCTTTCATCCTGTATAGCTGGATGCTATCCTTTCTTTCCAGTCCTTGCTTCCATACTCTTGAACTGCATATTCTCACTCTCTTTTCAATCTCTTTCTTCCATTCTTTGACATCCCACATTTGCTTGTAGGAGTTCAAATATTAATGATTTGACATCTAGGGAAAAATATTGAGTGCATTTACATATTACATATCCTAGAATCTAGATTAATCACTTTTTGGAAATGCAATTGCAATATCCAGCCATCTTTGATTTTAGTACAAAAATAGCAACAAATGGGTACAGCTCTCTCCAAGAAATATATTCTTGCAGTTTCACAGGAGTCTGATAATTATTTACTAAATAATTAATTTATTTGCAGGCCACCTGTTGCAAAAATAAGTCGTCTTCACATTGCTTCGCTGTTGTCTCAGGCTGATTTTCTGCAAAGCATTACCTACCAGTATTGTAAGTATTCAACATGTGCTTATCCTTAGTAATGCTGACATGTTGCATAATGATTGTTCACGTTTTTAAGTATGTCTTGTGTGTACTTATTATCTTGTATGGGATACTTACTTGAACATGTACTT